GAATCCATAAATTCAATTACTATTTTTTAGTTGAGATATATTGACATAGGCTACTCCTATGCCTGTTAACACATTAGGACAAATAGGTACTGTGATCTCTCCCTAAACACGAAGAAAAAAAAAATTCCCTCCAAAATCTGGTTCACTGTCACCATCACCGAAGCACCCAGTGGGACCAGGTGTGGGTGTTACTGGAATACTTCAAAGCTTGATGAGCTCACAAAAATATGTACTGTCCTAGCCATTGGCCCAGTCGAATTTATTTTGTTTATCACTTTTTAAACTTGTTCCCACCTTATATAAATGGTCTGCGTGATACAACAAGAAAGAATAATAATTAAGATGAATATAAATTAAGAAAGTGAAAAAAAATTAAAAGTAAAAAAAGGGGGGTAACAAGTGCTTCTTTATTAGTCAACTTTCCTAACACCTTTTACCCAGATATCTCCATGATGATTCTTTTACCCAATTCCTATGCTGTCGAAGGTGCACTCTACATGACCAGTTACCAGCATTTTGCTCAGCACAAACGACACTAATCTTCCTTCCACAAGCAACATAGAGACCGCAGCTTGCTGGAAAAGTTAACAGAGAAAAAGAAAGTAACAACAAAAATGGAAAAATCCCATTCAGTGTAAACTAGTACCTTATCTGCATCCTGAAAAGCAAGTACATCCCCTCTCTAACTTTTGCTTCCATGAGACAATAACACTGACACTGAAATAATGCTTTTTTTTTCCCCTTTTCTACAAGGGCTATATTAAATGAAAATGAACAGACCCAAGATTACAAAAATCTCATATTTAATTATTTATTCCTTTTGTTTTTCTCTTGAATCATGATTGAAGAATATAATGAAAAGAAAGTGTGGTAATTGAAAATGTGCTAACTGCTAAGTTGGGGTACGAGTCAGGGGTCTTTTAGGGGCCTTTTGCTCGGCTGGTAAATATCTGAGCTCGTTTAATAAAAGCTCGTGTTGGAATCAGGCTTGGCCTTGTATAAAAACTCGTTTAATAAAAAGGCCTCAGGGCTCTAATTCAGAAGCTCGGCCTTAGAGCCTCCGAGGCTAGCCTAGTATATAAATATTTATTTATACTTTTTATGCTACTTGTAATAACTCTATCTAGTCAATTTATTTCACCCCATTTTATTGGTTTAACAGACTTTTTGAATGATTTTGTTCTATATTATGCTATTTGGATATATATTGAATTTATGTATATTTATGGAATTACTAGTGCTGTTCTATATTATCCTTCATCCTCCTTCACACAAACAAATCCACAAAAACTCATTTGTTCCACTGTGCACTGCTCGTTTGTGTCAATTTATTTTTTATTTTATTTATTTTATTTTTATTTTTGTTGGCACTTTTTTTATAATGGGCTAAGATAATATAACATGTTATCTACCTTCTCTCACTTTAATTTTTTTATTTATTGTAGACTTTGTAAATTATTGCTGCAAATTGAAAGTTAAGGTTTCTATCTGGAAATTGATTTTTTGTGGAATTCTGTTCTCTTATTTTTATTCTTTAACATGCTAACAGGCTAAGACAGGCTTCACACAGGCTTTTATTTTTTGTAAATAAATCAGGCCACATGCCAATATTATATTCGTAACAGGTAACAGGCTAAGGCAGTCGGACACGTTTAAATACAAACTTGACCCGTTAAAATCAAAGCTCGGCTCGGCTCGGCCCGTTAACACCCCTACCGCTGAGTATCATTTTTCTCCTACATTTTTTGTGCAAGTAATTTTTCAATTTCTAGAAATGTGCTACTACTCACACATGCTTCCCTCAACTTATATCAACGTGGAAAATGTTGCAATAAGGCTGAATCAGTTGTTATGATCCCAAAGCCAAACTACACTGTTTAATTTGTTATAATAACGAGTCAAATTAAAAAAGCAAAGTAACTGTTTCCAAAAAAAAAAGAGAAAAAAAGAAGAAGCAAAGTAACTTTGTGATTGTGATTCCGTGCCGGCCAGAGCAATATCTCAACAATCACTATTCACATTTTTGTCTAAGCAAGAACAAAGGCAGAAAAGTTGCCTGCTTAGCATTTACTTTATGTGTAATAGAGACAACACCTGTTCCCTGATCACTAAGCATGGTGACACACTAAACTACTCAATCCATCACCATTTTCGTGTGGTTTGGGATTGGAGTATACAAACTTAAGTTTGTAAATTGATTTTGATTAAAAATAAGATTGAATGAATTGATTTATATTTAAAAGGTAAGTTTGATATAATAAATGTTGTTTAGATAGTTTTTATAAAAGGAAATTGTTGTGAGTGTAGCATGAGAAAGTTTTCTCATGCTACACTCACAACACATGAGTGAGTCTCATCTTAACTTTTTTGTCTTCCCACTTTTTTGTGCAGCTCACTTATATATTGTGAGTGTAGCGTAAGAAGATGAGAAAATTAATTCTCTTTTATAAAAGTTAATTTTAGTAGTATACCTATCAGAAAGGATATATTTTTTCTTAGTTAAATTAACATTATTGAAATAATAATATTAAGTGTAGTATCGAGTTTCAATTGATCATCGACTCACTCAAATTATTAAGTCAACGTAATTCAATGAGTGAGACATTGGTTAAACCTGTTAATCCGTATATATATATGAGTTCATATTTTCTTATGTTGCAAGATAGCATGAGATAAAAAAAGTAGAGTCAAATTAAATGTGAGTCCCACATTTTATATTATAAAAGAAAAAGAAAATTAATTAGCACGAAAAATAAATTTGTGTAGGAAAATATGTTGCTCTCCTATGGCAAGAGAGCATGATTTCCGATATATATATATATATATATATATATATATATATATATATATATATATATATATATGACTTTAATATTTCTACCGTGAATGTAGATAAGTTATTTATATTCACTGTCAAAACGACGTCGTTTTGGGTTAAAAAATTAAAAAAATTATAATAAAAAACTATTATAACCCTGAAATAAATTATAGTTACAAAAATACTTTGATTTCTGCCTCAAAACGACGTCGTTTTGAACTCAATATAGATATGTTATCTACATTGACTGTAGAAAAAGCGGACCATATATATATATATATATATATAGGGCTTAACATTTCTGCAGCAGCTGTAGATAGTGTTATCTACAGCTGACACAGAAAAGTGGGCCCCACGGCTTTTTAAAAAAAAAAAAAAAAACTAAGGATCTGTTGCCGTATCCTAGGATTCGGATGTGTATCCTTGCTTGCTGTAGGTACAGCAACTGCAGAAATTATTTTGCTATATATATATATATATATATGGAGAGAGATCATTTGACTCAAGAGTAAGACTTTACTCTCCATCCTAACCGTTGATTTCCGTCCATCCAACGGTTATAATTTAGGAAGTTATATTAATTAATTAATTATTAATTATACTATTAATGACAACCGTTGATTTCCGTCCATCAACGGCTGGGATTTGGAGTAAGACTTAAAAGTCTTACTCTGGAGTCAAAAGAACCCTATATATATATATAAGTTTATAATAGATATATAAAAATATATTTTGGCTTAACGGTTGACCAATTCTCCGGTTTTAATAGTACTGATTTCATAAGACATTTACAATTTTTAGTTGAGGTGAAAGTCTTCCAAATATTATTGCCGTCTCTTAATTACTCATCAACTTTTTTGCAATCCTTGTGTTATTCTCTCCTTGCAATGATTCCAGACCTTACAGTTCTGTTCATATGCGGGTTTGGTTCTTGATTGCTTCTGGATTCTACTTGATGAGAGCTGTCTTGAGCCCACGTGAGACCAAGAGCTAATATAATACAAGTGGTCCTCTCATACACCCCAATGGGTAAAAGAATTGAATAGGCAACAATTTACATATAGTAATTGGCATGAAGAAAAAGGCATACAAATTCTCCTGATATTACAACTACGTGTTAGACATGAACACATGGAGCAATTATAAGCTTTGTTACCTTAAGTGGTTGGCGACCTTACAACCACCTCAACCCACAATTTTATCTTCAATAATTAAAAAAACTTATTTTGTATACTTTACTTTTTTACCCCGGGTCAAATCTTCAACCTCAAGAATAATCAAACCAATTGCTGTTTTTCAATTCTAAAGGATGAGATTAGATCAAAACATAAATGGTAAGGGACTGAGTAGTCTTCTCTTAGAATCTGCACATATCACGGGAATAATGGATTTGACCATTGTGCTGAATTCTATGTTTGAGGGGCTACACTTAGTCACAAGACATATTAGGTGAAGACCCAAAAAAAAAAATTAAAAAAAAAATTGAAGAAAGGTTTCTTTGTAGCTTCAAAATAAAGCAGTATCTTTCTTCAGATTGCCACTTTAGCCTCCAGGGACTCCTCTAGTTTAGGGTAATTTAAGTAACAAAGCGACAAAAAGTTAGTATCTATAGAAACTAGAATCCTTTTTCCATAATCACGCATCCCAAAAGACTCTAGTCACACATTGCAAAGAGTAACTATAAGATCTTAAAGCTGTGTTCAAAATGAAGTAGTATTATTTAGATTATTGATTATCACTGAGAAGATGCATTGGCCATGAATTATAAAACCATGTTTTCTATATTTCCACTGGAGGATGAAAATTTGGAAATCTCCAAGAAAAAAAGAAAAAAAATGAAAAGACAAACATTCTTAATATTAATTGAATCAGTGAAGGGTGAACTAATTGTCATTTGCAGCAAAAGAATGGAATTCTCAGAATATTCTTGGATATAGGAAGAAACAAAAATTTCAATTGAGAGACTACTAAATTGTCATGTTCCATTAAAATGAAAGGAAACAGCTATCTCCTACCAAATAAAGATATAAAGCACTAAGAACAAAAATCATATACCCTGTACATTGCAATTTCTTTCATCATTTGGGGTAATGACAAAACATTCTGAGAATTCCAAACAGTCATTCAGGTACCTCAATAGCAGATGCTTCAAAATGATGCAAAACCCAGGATGCCCATTTTCTTATTCATCAACAGGAGCAGGTAGATTGAGATCAATCAGACAAGGAACAGCAGGAGCACCTTGTTTGATCACCTTGGTGTTTTCTTCAGAACCTCCAATGAAATGGGATCTTTTATGACCTCCTAAGGCTTGGCCTGACCTGAAAGTTTTGTAGCAGATTGGGCACTCATGTTCCTTGCTTTTCTTTGACTTCAACTTCTTCTTGGCCTTATTGCTGGATTTCTTTCCATTGAGAGCCTTATTCTTACGAGAGTTGGGAGCAGAAAAAGAATCAGTATCTGAACTGTTTTCATCACTCGCATCGGTTGAATCATGAGAGCTATTGTCCCTTTCACCTGCCGAACAATCATACTTCCAACTTTTCCTACCATTCTCATAGATTTCATCATTGGTAAAACCATTTGATGTCGACTTGCTAGAAACGCCAACTAAGTTGTGACTAAGAGTATCATAGTTGGCTCTCTTTCTCGAATCAAACTTCCTTGTAGTTCCATCTGTTCCATCATAATCCAAATCCTCCATCACTAATTTCTTAAACACAGTTGCAGTGGATTTGCTTCTGCCTCTGCTAAGTATTTTCCTCGATTCAACATCATAATCCTCTATCCGAGACTTTTCTCCCACCTTCACCCCCTTGAATTTATCACTTGTAACGTCTGAGTCTAACATTTTAGTTTTGGGACCATATCTGAAATATCTAGAATCTGAATTATCACAAGCACCAATCTCAGCAGATTTCAACTTCATGTCCTTGACCAGCTTCTTCTCCACAAGCTCATAAGCATTAAACAAAAAGTTGTTACCATTACTCACAGCAACCCTCGTATCAAGAGAGGGTGATTTTGCCTCTAGAACAAACGAGTTGTTATCAGAAGACTCAGTAACAGTAGCAAAACGACCCCTGTGGCTAGAATCTTTGGACAACATCATCAAACACCTAGCCACCTCCTCTTGCTCCTGTTCAACCTCTGACACAGGTGAAGAACCAGAACCATTGGCCAAAGGAACAACAGAAGAAGAAGAAGAAGAAGGGTGATTGGCAAGGGCAAGGGTCTTGAACCTGGTTCTCTTGGATTTCCTTGGATGTGTTGGAGCACAAGTCTCAGTATCAGATTGACTATCCATAACCAATTTCTGCTTCTCACTCTCTTCAAACTTGTTGTTTCCCTTTTCTTTCTCTGAATGACAAGCCATGTGACCACAGAGAGCTTTCAATGATGGGAAACCTTTCCCACATTCTTTGCAGAACTTCTCTTCATGTTCCAATGTTGTACGATGCACAAACCTCATTGTTTTCTTGGGGTTCTCTCTGAGGCCATAAATGGAGTTCCCACCACCATCTTCAGACCATAAATCTCTCTTATTCCTCTTCCTTCCACCATCCAACTTGAGCATATCACAATCAACATTACTTCTTTCTTCACTCATATGAGTCCTGATGTGACCACCCAGAGACTTCCCACAAGGAAACCTCTTGCTACAATACTTGCACACAAACTTCCTCTCCTCCATGGATTAATGTGATGTGATGTGAATCTGATCCTGATATGAAAACCCAGCAAAAAACTATATCACACACCTCAAATCTGCAAGGACAATAAACATTCCATGATCATGCCACCACCCAAAGGGTGAAAGGTAGAGAGACTCACTGGAGAGGAAAAAAGAGAGCTAAAGGGACAAAATTCAGATCACCAAAGTTTCTAGCTTTTTAACCAGGTGATGATCAGAAGAGAATCAATATGGTCAGATGTGACAGTTGTATAAGTACAAGATCCAACCCACAAAAAGGGAAGAGACCCCTTAATTTCCGTTTCCCAAAAGAATGCTCAAAATTTATTGGGTATGTAATTTTTTTTAAAAAAATCAAATTTTGAAGAAATGGGGTTGTTAATTGCTAATTGCTAATTGCTAATTGCTACTAGCGGTGGCATGAAGAACAATGAGTAATGAGAGGGAGCTAACCATGACTCTTTTTTTCTCTTTGATTATTTATCTCTCTTGTATGTGATGAGTGTAATAGTTGGAGTAGAATTCCATGCATGAAACAAAATACATTAACTATAAAGAAAAAAAAAAAAAGGAGAGTGATAGGCGGCACGTGTACTTGAGTGAAAACCATTGGCAGTTGATTTGAACGGTCAAGATTTGTGGTTGTTTTGGAGATCTCTAGACTCTAGGCATTGGGGAGTACCAGATATGCGATATGATATGGCACACCAAAACTGAAGCATCCAATCTGTGCCTTAAATTTGGTCTTGCATCTAGGCTCACACAGGGGAAGGGTCAGAATCTCCAACCGTTATTGCCACAATCAAATTGATATTTAATTGCATTTTTGTAACATATATAAAATCTTTATTATAATGTTTGTGGCTGTAATACCCTGTTTTCCCCATATCTTCTCCTTATTGCAAATGGCCACCTTGATGATGTTTCCTGTGTTTTGGAATCAACTCAAGTAGAGATTTTTGTGCCATGATTTCTTTGCTATTTGATATGCGCTTAGCATATAAGGAAATCTGAGCCAAAAAAGAGAAAGAATGTTGATGAAATCTTGAGAAAAAGAGCAAGAATCACCGTTAATTTGTCAAAATCTTAATCAAGGATTAAATACTGATTTTATGCTAATTTTGTAGGAAAAAGCAAACAAACGGGGCAATTTTGGAAAAAGGAAAAGATTTAAAAATAAAGTGTGGATATTCAGCAATTAGATCTCTTTCCAAATTAGAGATAAGATTACAAAGAGATGCGAAAAAGATATGATCAAGATCGCGACAGATTCCATAAAGATTTGATGAAGATTTATTCAGAAAAGATATGGAATTAAAGCGGAAACAAATCTAGATGATTTGTGAGAAGATTGAATCAAGATACAATAAAGATTTGAAATTCTAATTTATCAATCAAATCTCCAAGATTTTTACATGAAAAAGAAAACAAAGTTTAAATCAAATACAAATCTTGGATGGACTCAAAGGAAGATTAGATGATGGGCCCAATTCCTCTGGCTATAAATAAGGAGCTTGGGAGCACAACCAAGGAACCGATTAACAACTCGGAGCAAGCAGTAGAGGACTGAAGATCAAGAATTCTTTTCCATTCTTTCCAGTAATTATAGTTTTTATGCTTTCTTTTGAATATTTGTTTATGTCAGATATGACTATGTCTGGCTAAGTTCTTTTATTGTAGTTAGGGTCACAAAACCCTATGTGAACCCTTGTTATGACGGATTGATTTAAATTATTTTACTCGTTTATATAAATTTCTTTATCTTACCTTGTGCGTATTTGATATTTTCTTTATTAAACCTGATCAATTTGATAGTTGAAAATAGTTTGAGGGTTAGAACCTTAAATAGGGATATTGGGGTTTCTGATCTTGAAAGGAGATAAGATAACTATTGGTATGCATACTAGGGATAGATGTATATTTAATTGCAGATGTTGAAATTATTGTGTTCATTGCTTAATTCTCATGAGGGGTTACTAAGGGATTAGGATTCTAAGTGAGGTTAAAGGGTTAAGTTACCAAGGGATTGTGATTTAATTATTAATATATTGAGATCATAATTATCTGAGAAATTATATAAATAAGTATTTTGTATCAATTCAAAGTAATAAGTGGGGATCATAGGGAGAGTGTTCCCTAACTGCAATTCTTTCTCATATTTTCAAAACCAACTCCATTATTATTCTTCTTTTCATTCTTTAAAATACAAAAACTCAAAAATAAGTCTTTACTTTTATGGTTACTAAGATTCAATTTAATTTTCCCAACAAAGGATCAAGTTTTTCAACTTAAAGTGACTGATTATTTTAGTACTTGGTTTTCAATCCCTGAGGAGACGATCTTTCTTACTACTTTACTACTTATGCGAAACGGTATATTTGCCGGATAGCATCACTATTCATTAATTTATTTTGTGTGTGTGGCAATTTTGGATATTAAAATATAAATATATTAGTTGATTTATTTTGCCATTGCCATTCTTTTTACTGATTGAAATTCAAAATGAGGTCTATTCGACGACCTTACTCAAGTGTGAAGATATTCATTTTAATAATCATGTTTCTCACATATGTTGCCACCAGATTAATTTATAAATGAGTTTACATTTTTGCCGTTGTTGTACGTGCATCAATCAAATATTTGCCATATATATACTTGAAAACATTAAATGCAGAGAATCATAATCATACAAAGGATGAAAGTATTAAATGTGGGAAATCATAACCATACATATGTCGTTGTTGTACATAAAGCAGCTGCAGAAATGATTTTACCATTTATAAATTATAATATCTAAATTCTTTTTTTTTAATGCTTAATGAAAATTGAAAAGCCACTAAAATGGGAGTGTGTATGAGACAATCATTCTGTCTCTGGCAATGTTTCTGAAAAGAAATAATATTTATGTGCCTTAGAACATTTTCTGAGAAAAAAATATGTTTGATAACATGTTATATTTTTATTCCGAGAATGAGAATTGCGTTTGATAACACAACAAATAATATAATAAAAAAGAGAGGGAGTATTCTTACTACCAAAAAAATTACTACCAACTCACTACCTATCTAATTATAATTGGATTAGTATTTTATCTAATTATAATTGGATTAGTATTTTCTCTCTTTTCAGAAAACTTTTCAGCATTCTCTCTTTGATCCAATGGAGATTAAATATGTAGTAAGTTGGTAGTGAATTCTTTTTGTAGTAAAATTATCCCCCTTCAATAAAAAATAATTCCTATTGAGCATAATTTTTTTTTAATCATCACTTTCTTTTTCATATTACGCGATGGCGGTGGTGGCAGTGTGGTGGTGGTAATGGTAGCGGTGGCGGCGGCTATGGAGGTATAGGTGGTGGCGGTGGCAGTGGCATGGTGGTGGAGGTGACGACAGTGGCTGCAGCGATGGTGGAGGAAATGGTGGCAGTGTTGGCGATTATGGTGGTGGTGGTGACGGTAGTGGTTGTCATGATGGTGGTAGTGACAGCAGTGGTTGTAGTGATGGTGGTAGGGGTGTTCGCGGTTTGGATTGGATCGGTTTTGGAACTAAAAATCATTCGATTCAACCTTCGTTTTGATTATGTAATCATCCATTCGGTTTGGATTTTTTTTCAAATCCGATCCGATCCAATCCAATTTTTTTCGGTTTGGATTGGATCGGTTTTCGGTTTTTTGAAAATCCTAAAATTTGTTTCATAATTATTGTGCAAATAACATCTTTTGTATATATTGGTTTTGTAAAAAAAAAAATTGAAATACAAAAGCATCAGTAAAAAATAATCTATATATATTTTTTTTGACAATGAGATATAAAGCTTTACACAGATAAAATTTTGTTGATGAGATGTGACTAGATTTTTTCTTGGGTTTAGTTGATGGTTAATGGGTCTTGGGTTTAGAAATTTTTGAGATATGATTGAGGAAAGACCCAAGTAAGTAGAGTAGAATTAATATATTTGATCGGTTTAGATTGGATCGGTTTTCATCAATCAATCCGAAAACCGATCCAATCCAATTAAAATTTGTAGCTTTTTTTCGATTTTCGATTTTTCGATTTTCGGTTCGGTCATCGCGGTTTGAATCGGTTTGGTTCAGTTAATGAACACCCCTAGATGGTGGTTGGTGAGGGTGAGGGTGGCGGTGGCGGTGGCGTGGTGTGGTGTTGGTGGTGGTGATGAAGTTAGTGGCTATGGCGATGGTAGTGGTGGTGGTGATGACGTTAGTGGCTATGGTGATGGTAGTGGTGGTTGGTGACGGCAGTGGCTGCGATGATGGTGGTGATTGGTGGCAGTGGTGGTGATGGTAGCGATGGTTGTGGTGACGGTGATGGTAGTAGTGATGACAGTGGCATGGTGGTAGTGATAGTGGCGATGGGTGGAGGTGGTGGTGATGGTGGCGATGGCCTCGTGGTGGTGGTGACGACAGTAATGGTGGTATAACAACAGCGGCGACGAAGATTGTTGTGGTGGTGTCAAGATGATGATGGTGGTGATTATGGTAATGGTGGAGAGAAACAAGTGTTTATCATTTTGTTTCCAGGAACAAAAAAGTCAAAAAAAAAATGATTTTTTTTTTCTAGTTCCCCAGCACAAAATTTAAACCGATTCATCCCCGGAACAAAAAAATAAACTGATGTTATCAAACGAGTTTTTTATCCCTTTCTGTTCTCATGAACAGAAATTAAAAAAAAAAGATTCTGAGAAGGTTGTCATTCACATCCTTGGTCTAGTGTGGTGGGATTTTTTCGTAGTTTGTATTAAGTTATGCGTACAATTTTCATTATTGTATCCAAAAAAAAAATGAATTTTAAATCTTAACTTAAGGTGTTTATACTATTCTTTTTTTTCGGTAAACATTTATACTCTTCTTTAACTAAATGCTAAACCCTGGTAAATAAATATTAAAATTCAAAATATTGAAATTATGTTCCTGTTTTCACCAATGGTATTCTATTTAGGGGTGAAAGTGGATTGGGCTAGGCCAAGCTTTGTCCCAAAAAGTC